AATAGGTGGATGTATGGAGGAGCACATGCATGACACCAAAATTGAATATACTTCATATGATTTATGTAGTTTTGGACACGACTAGCTAGTGTAAGATTTGGTCTGTTAATCTATCTATACTTGAATTGATTGTTGCAGCCCTCGTTAATCTAAAAAAAAAAAACCTAAATTAGTTTTGCATGGCAATTCAGCCCTCGTAATAGAAGCCTTGTACAATTAAAATTAGACACAAATTAATACGTTTATGAATCGATCAATTCACAACTTTTAGGAGTTGAGAGTTATATCATATATCACCAAACGATTTATCAAGACAAATTATTCACATTTATTTAATAAGTCATCTTAATATACATACTAGATGAAGCCCGTGCGATGCACGGTTTATTAGTATTTTTTTAAAAAAATATTTTTCATATATTATGTGATTTTTGTTATTATATTAGCTTTAATATATTAGATAAAATTCCTAATCTCAAAAGATAATATTTTATATTTAATTAATTTAAACTTTAGTATCTCATTTGTTAATTTTGCTTACGTGGCATTTGAATTATTTAATTATAAAAGATTTTAATAATCTCCTATTTAATTGGTTACTATTAAAATTTATAATCCTACATGGCACACTAAGAAAATTAAATCCTATGTGGCTTTCTAAAAATTTGGGAAAAAACTCCCCTTTATATATATATATATATATATATATATATATATATATATATATATTAGATTAGATTTTTTTTTTATAGTATTTTGTTTTTGAGGGAGAGGTGAGGGTGGTTGGTTAAGATAACCATTGCAACAATATTAAACCTCATAAACAGCTGGCCAAAGACGTAGTCAACTTAAGGATGATGTAAATTTAAAATTGTTGGAAGGAACTTCGTTCGATCATCATAATAAACGTGTGTATATAATTCAAAATGTAAATACTCTTCTTTTTCATTTACTCTTGTTCCCCTTTCTCTCTCACACAAACTCTCTCACACTTATTTTGTCTAATCATATACTCCCTCCATCTCAGCCTTAAATAATTTTTGTATGCTCGCATCTTAATTTTTGGGCGAAACTTAAAAATTTGACCATAAACAATCATTAATTTGCAAGAAATTTCACCAACTAATCTATGTCAAGATAATTATGTTCATAAATTATACCTTAAAAATTGTAAAAAGTACAGTTAAATGAGAAAAGTATTTAAAAACGAAAGAAAATAATTACTACATAATTTATTTAGTTATCCCATGATGTCACATATATGCATGCAAGAGTCGCATGTGCACAAAAGTATATTTACATGTGTCACAACTCACAAGATATATTTTTAGGTATCATCTTAATTAATCAATTTAATTAGTTTGAGTATGGATGTGTCAAAAAAATTTATATGTTACAAAGAAGCCTTATCTATTTTCAATTAGCGAAAGCAATGGATATGTTTTCTTTACATTTACATGTTTAGATATTTGTTAAACGATAATTTACGTAGTCAAACTAGTGTTTGACCCCCACTCCAAAAAACATGCATGCATGTTTCTACATCAACTTTGTAGAAAATATAGAAAATACAAAAATTTATCTATCAAATTGTAAATTGTTATAGTTTCCTCAACTGGCTGAGCAGGTTGAGGTCGACAACTTTATATAATCTGCTCGATCATTCATGTTGATGTTTCACATGTGGTAGATATCCTGGACATTTAGTAATAGTTAAGGTTTTTAGTATTTTCTGTACTCGTTTATTTTTTAATCTAAAAGTAACATGTATATCATATACCATAAACAATGATATGTAAAATGTAATTTAATTACATATTTAGGTTCTTTGTTGTAAGGAAAGTTTACATTCAATTCAGCTTATTTCATTAGTTCCTAATTTCCTTCTCTCATAAAATATTCAGTTTAGTTTAGTTTAGTTCAGCTCCAATCAATTCACTTCACTAAATCAGAACATGCCCTAACTCTAATTTTTTTTTTTTTTTTTTTTTTTTTTGGTAATTAGTAAAGACATCGGAGTATTTGCAATTTTAGTTTAGAAAACATACCAAAATATTCTAAATACACATGTGACTATATTTCATGAAAATCCTACCTTGATAATGTTATTGATTACGGCCGAACAAGTGTAAACTATGAATGTGATACAACTAGTACTCCATAATCTAGAGCTTGATAACAAGCTAGAAAATGGCCAAAAATCTAGCACCCTTGTACCGTACGAAAAATCGTTTATTGTAGTACCTTTCAGGCACCAAATTTCCGGCCAAAAGGATAAATAAGCATATAATTTAATTAGTGGAAGATTCAGCCTAAAATTCATGTATTATTCTTTTTTTTTTTTTTAAAAAACAAAAATTAAAATTAGTGGGGAAAATGAACACTTTAAAGAAATGAACTTTTGGGGCCCAATGTCATATGTTAGGTTGGATCTATAACCCCACCTCATTCTTTGGGGAGATTTTTGGATCACAAAAAGTCTACACTTTTGACTAATTTGCGCTTATCTTAACATAGGTATTAAGAAGAACTATTGATTACCCTAATTATGAGCCTTTAATAGAAAACTTAGTTTATTGATTAATTAAAGTTACATCAAATTTTATGTAACGTTATATTATTAATTATGGCATGATGATCTATACATTAAAGATATGCTGTGGTGCTACGGAACCTTGAGTCTTTATTTAATTGTGTAATGATTTAACATGAATGGAAAAATCTTTGCTTTTGTGAGTATATGGGGACACATGTTGTTTGAGAACTTGACAATGGTGATCCTATTTTTCAACAATTACTTGTATATAACTTGTGTAGACAGTCTGGCATCCTAGGTGCATAATCATTTGATATATAAAAATCGATCTTAGAAGACTTGACTTATAAGGTCTTCTTTCGTTCGGAATTGATTGCTTGTGTACGTAGTATTTCCTCTGTTTATAACTCCGTATTTGCTATTACGACTTAATACGATATATGGGGTACGTAGAAATGAGAACGAAGAGTCGAAGATGGAGATGAGTCCTCGATGATCACCTACTTAATAAGAAGATTGAGAACATAATTGAAGCAATGTCGAAAATTAAAAAATGTTGCAATTTGGTGTGAACTTTTAAAAGAGTTATACTTTGCAACAAGAAAAGAATGGATGAAGTATGTTGACTGTTCTCTTTGTGATGTATATATGGCATTTTTTGTAAGGCGACTTACAATTCCACATGAGAATAAAAGAAGCTAAGTAAACTCGCTATATAATAGATAGATAGATAGTTTATTTAGAGCTACCAATTTGAATTGTTGGTAAATGATTTCCCTTTCGGAAAAAAACCATTAAAAAACGATGATGGTTCATGAAAGAATCCATAGAAAGACCCTTATGGGTTTCAACACTCCCCCTCACTTGTGAGTGTCCTTAGAACTTATAGTACACCAGAAGGTACAATATGAGGCCCTTTAACCTGGGCTCTGATACCATGATAAATTTCGAAATAATATGAAATGGGCCTGGGCAACCTGAACAAGGAAGAGGAGAGTTTAGTCCACAAACAAGGCTTTGGAGCTTCCATACTAAAACCAATTGGCAATAGTAAGAGTAACTCGTCTACCTTATAAAGTGGAACCACCTCACCTCTTTATCTAATGTGGGACACTCACAAGTAGGTTACAATGGGTTTCAACAGAGCAATTAGTACGAACTTCGTACTAATTACTTGAAACACAAGTAGTACGTACTACTTATCGTATAGTATAAACTATAAACAATGTATTTTCAAAGACTTGAGGAAACTGGAGTAGGTTACTCTTTCTTTGTACGTCAAAATGCATCATGCCAACTGCCAAGGTAAATTCCTCTTGAAATTCTTAATTTGTAACAGAAAATTAAGAGAAATTCAATGTTTATTTTAAAAAAAGGTGGCATATTTGTTGAATTCATTCATATGAAGGCTCTATTTCTTCACCTTAAATTATTATCTAGTAATATTTAATAAAAATAAATTAAGTTTAATAAAAATAAGTTAATTTTAGTGAAATAATTCAAATTAGTAAGAATAAATTTTAATCCGTAAAATTCAATAAATGACAAAAACAAAAACAATAGTGAATCAGTAAAAAAAAAATATAAGTTCAGCAAAAATAAATGGAAATAGAACGAGCCTAAGGACATGTTCCGATTTACCTAAAACAACTGAACTAAACTGAACTGATTGGGACTGAAGTGAACTTAACAGAGCTGAAATAAATTATTTACGAGATAAGAAAATTAGAAACTAAACTAAACTGATCAGAGCTAAAATAAACTAAAATTAAGCTGAACAAAACAGACCCTTATCTTTTACCTCTCCCTACATTATATAATCAATGAAATTATACTAGAAAATAGAAACACCTTATCTTCCTTCAAATTATTACTCCGTGGCAAATATGTAATGGATAAAAGCTTATATAATGATTATTATTGGAATTAGAATAATAATCTAACATACCTTGCATCAAACGGATATGCTGTCAGAAGCTTGATCATTTACGCATATTGATGACTTTTTTTTTTTTTTTTTTTTTTTTTTTGCGTAAAATAAATATGCCATTTTCTTGGGCGCACAAATAATAGTAGCCATTCAAAAAAAAAAAAAAAAATTAGGAACTTTTTCTATATAGTTAGTACTGTATATGCTATGCCATTTTACTTTTAAACAAACGCTTTAATAATCATTAGTCATAGGAAAATAGAGTTTGTTTTAAGGCAGTGATTATCCCCAACATTATACTATTGTTAAAATACAAACATATTTATGTACGGATTAAGAGTACTAAACCTTAGCTTTATATTGAATCAATCTTTGTTTATTAGCATCGAATTTCGTAGTAATTAAATTACAATCACTTAACCTAGTCTTTTTAGCAGAGAGCAAGAGTAGAGTAGCTAAATGTTCACTATTTTAATTGCAATAATAGATTAATTAAGAATTTAAGACACGTATAAATTAAACAAATCAAAGAAATGAAATTTTACAATTTTTTTATAATCTCCAAAATACAGTACATTATCATCTTCATAATCCCTTAATGTACAATTCCCCATATGTACATTCTTTTTCATACAGTTAAATTAAAATTATTTAGCAGAAACAAAATAAAAAGAAAAAAAAAAGAAAAGAAAAGAAAAAGAGAGGTCGACATACATACCAATATTTTTAATTAAGCTAACTATTATATTCAAGAAAATCACTTTCACAATCACCCACTCCCCAATCTTACTTGATTTTCTCCCCTACTTCTTTCCATAGCTAATAGCACAAAAAAAAAGTAAAAAATAATAAAAATAAAATAAGATATCTAACTAAGCTAATTAACTAACTAATTAAAATTTCTTAATAATTAATTAAGCTCTTAATTCACCACCTTTTTTTGTATCTTATTTTGCATTTTTTTTTTTGAGAGTTTTACAAAGTTCTAGCAATCAATTCTTGGTATCTTCTGTAAGATTCAATCTTCTCCAACCTGAATTTCTCATGACAATTTGCTATAAACAAATCAGCAAGTTTATCTATTTCATTCTCAACATTTTCTAATTGATCCCCTTCTTTTAACTTCTCATTTTTACCACCTTTTTCTTCTAACCATTGAAGATAACTTGAGAGCTGACCTTCCTCTTCATGTACCTTAATACCATTACTCTTACAAACTTGATCATCACCTTCCTTATGAAGATCACGAGTTTCGTTGTCGGTGGAGTAGACCGAGTTCCACGTAGAATCATAGTAGATATGGCTAGTAGGGGTGTTGACACCCTCTAGTATGGTGGGTGAAGGGATAGGCAATACGTGAGCCGAAGAAGAACACCAATTGTAATGAAGTCTAAATGAGCCAAATAGTATTTTCTTCCTATACTTGTTCTTCTTCTTGGTTTGTTTCAAGTACATGAGTTGATTCTCCCGGAAAATCTCTAGGAAGATGGATTTGGCCTTGGAGAGTGCTCGAATAACGCGACAAATGTGGGAGAAAATTAGGTTGTGGATTAGGGTTTTGACCTTCATAGTTGTAAGAGAAGATGAAGTGGTAGAATTTGAAGAAGATGAAGGTGATGATGATTTGTTCATGTTGTTAGAGAAAATGTGAATAGAAGAGAGAGGGCTTTTAGGGTGTGAGAGGCTAACCATATTATTAATTTTTTGGTGTTTATGAGAGAGGGGTGTTATTGAGTGTTGTTCAAGATGAGATTTATAAAGGGACTCGTTTACCAATATGCCAACAAAATGGTGGGGTAATTTGATTTTTAAAATAAATTTTTTTTTAAAAAAAACTAATTTGTTGTTAGCCACTTTTTTGCATGAGATGTTGTTCATATCTTCTTTTGCTTTCTTTTTCACTTTTTTCAAGTGTTTGATTTCCCTCCATGTTTGTTTTGATGTTGAGGGGTAATATGATTGTTTATTAAAATATTCGTTTTTGTTAGAATTTGAAACTATTTAGATGCTTTACTATAGATAGGTATATATACTTTCCTTTTTAATGATGAGATGAATTTTGATAAATCATTAGAATTGATATTAATTTGCTCCTTTTGTGTGGCGTGTTGCATTAATAATTACGTTGATAGTGTACTTTATTTAAACTAACTAGTAATATATACCATGACCAAAATTTGACACTAATGTATATCTTATTATCTTACAATCAACATTTAATGAAATATAAAAGGATTATTGACAATGACACAGTAATCTTAACAATGTTAATTATTATCAAATTATCAATACATTTTTCCCTTAAAATTAAATGACATACCGAATGACAACTTATAAACGTAAATTCAAAGAGAGAAATCATCTTATCGATTTGTGCCTATAGGAGTATTACAAATCATATCAATAACAAAATAAAGTATTTAAACATGAAAGGCCAACCATGTTCATTTGATGTGTTACTTTTACATGGAAAGAAGAGATGATTAACCGAAGTAACGGTGGTCCTAACTTTAGTTAATCTACTTGATATTACATTAATAATAGATTAATAACAGTAATTATAAAAATTCCCTTTGGTGTAACGTTGAAGTTTTATTAGGACTGTAATAAAAGCTAAACACATCCCAAGGGCAAAAAAAAGTAATCAAAATTACTAAAATGTGAATCTCTGACACTCGATTTAACCGCTTTAGTAGGAGTTAATTCTATAGTGAGGTTAAAATGGTAATTTTTATAGTTGCTGATGCACAGCCGTTTATGCATGTAATTCTTGCTTCATATGCATATAGACATTGACCGAGTCTCCCGCTTCATCAGTTTATCAGCTAGTATTTGGCCTTTGCTCACATTGGGATTAATACAAGTTAAGTAAGAACAAAATGAAGATATATTAAGTCAATTTTTTCCACCAATCTAGGGATTTTTTTTTAACCTTTTGAGATATATATATTCATGAAAGAATGCATTCACTCTCATGTCTCCATCTACAATTTTACCTTATCAATCAATCAAGAAGTCCGAGGTATAATCAGTTGTATCATGCACCATGTTACAATCAATGCTATTTCTCGACTTATTTATTCAATTATAGATCTCCCAAATAAGCAAAATTGGGTTAATAAGTAGCTTTGGACCTTTGGTTGTACCTTGCACATTGTTTAACCTGTTGTATAGATAGATTACCCAATTCATAGCTAGTTGATCGGAAACTTTGTCACATTTTCTTATAAATATAAATAACGAATGTATTTTCAAACATACTTCTATTTCAATGAAATTGATAAAAAAGATGGGGAAAAACATTTATAAAAATAGATATTTTGTAATCATCAAATTTTCATACAAGCATATGATATACAAACACATTGCCTCGCTTGGTAAATGTACGACTCTTCTTTAAATTATCGATCCAAACATATTGAACAAGGGTAACCCATATCAAAATTAAATCGAATAAATTGTACCTAATACAATCTTATGTATCTTACCATACATATTTGAACTACTTTTTGACTGTTTGTCTGAATTAATTATTTTTGGCGATTGCAAAACTTATTTTATATGAACCTAACAAACTTATTCTTATGGTTTAGCATAGTACTTTGATCTCTTCAGTTTAGAATATATGTACAGTTGAATGGTATATTTGTCACACCCTCTGATTATCAACAAAATACCCTAACTACAAACAATTTTTTTTTTTTTTTTAAAAAATGACATGAACTAATCAAAAGTACAAAAAACAATTAATGAATACTAAACTTTGATGATGTTACGGAAAATCATGAAGATATAATCAGATCCAAAAGAAATGGGTAAAGGTACGTGTTCCAACAACATAAAGAATCTTGGAGTGTCACATTTTGATATTCCCTCGATTAAAGGTGGAAATTATTTTTTATTTTACAAAAATGTAAGATAAAAAATAAATTATAAATAACAAAATATAAATTAAAAAATAAAAAGGTTTGTAAGTCAGGACAGTGGTATACGCAGTTGGATAGGAGAGGCAGCCGAGTCTGTCGCCTCTTAATCCGGCGAGCCAAAACTCGATGAGGCAAATAAGCCCGATTCTACGCCGGTCATTTTTTTTTAATTTTGGCTTTAATCTACAACATAATGACAAATTATCTATGTATTTCATTTTAATTAACTTTTTGTTAATTGTATTTGTTTCATCTTTTTGGTATGTTATAGTTTTGGCACTAGTCATATTCTTTTAATAAAAATGTTACTATGTATTATATATTCAAGTATATTGTAATCTAATCTAATCTAATGTTATTATTATTTGTTAGAAAAATGGAAGATGATGGATAGCGTAACATATTAACATGCATGTTGATCGATGATTGACCTATGTTTGCAAAATTAATTATACGTTTGGGTGTGCTTAAAGAAAGGTTAGTACATTTAGTGGAGCTTGTTGTTAGACACTTGCTTTAAATATCGCTATGGTAGGATAATCTATAGTCCTATTTATTTCAACGTTTGATGTCTAAGGGCTTGTTCTTTTCAGCTTAAATTCAGTTCAGCTCCAATCATTTTAGTTCAGGTCAGCTTCTAATTTCCTTCTCTCATAAACAATTCATTTCAGCTCAATTCAGTTCAATTCCAATTAGTTCAACTCAATTCAATTCAGTAAATCAGAACAGATCCTCAATTTCTAAAATACTATTGCTAAAAAGGATCAATGCCATTCACATGACAACAAGAACATGACATGCATGCATTAGACATGCATGCATTACTACAAGATGCATGCATATCGTTGAGTGCAAGTTGAGATGTACTATCGTTACTTGACCTGATTTGAAATCAATAAAATCTAGTACATGATACAATAATACTAATAGAATAGGGCTAGAGTTTATTTGAACTTGATCATTTATGTTGTAGCAAAGCTTCAATTATTTTGTCAGAATTTGAATTGGTCATGAATCTCACGATATATTATGACATTATGAAAGTGTGTCGAAGTAATATGTGAGTAATTGGTCATATATGACTGAAATTCTTTCAATGCTTACGAAATTATAATGTTTGGAAGAGTAAAGACTTGTAAATTTGTAATACTTCACACCTAAGCTAATTAAATTATTATTATATAGACTTTCTAAGTTGCTTCAGAAATGCAAATAGGACACGTAGACAAGGAGGAAAACAAGTAGGACGAAGTAAGTATAAGAATAGGCCAACTAGAAAAACGACACGTAACACATACACGCCCTAAATCTCTCCTAATTACGAAGTACGGAGTATTAAGTAGTGTGGTATTGTGCTTGACTGCTTGAAGCAAGAAGTCAAAAGATTTTCTACGTACCATAAATGGAGTTTGGAGTGCTTAATAAGTTGTTTCATCATAGTAATGACCAATTTAATGTTTGATTAGGTAATATGCGACTATTCCTTTAGGTGCTGCTACAATAAAGGGCTTGGTTTTCTATCAATATGCATCTCAAAATTAATTAAGACCTGGTCTAGACTTGTCTCACGGAAAATGGCGATATAGAGTGGCCTGGATCGGTGTATCTGGATGTATGCTTAATACTGAATTTCATATGTTATGCTTTAGGCCTTGTATATAATCTCACTCGAAGATAATACCAGAGAATATGCTAAAAATCTATATATATCACGATTCGAGTGTTTTGACATTGGATCTATGGGGTGCGCTTTTGTCTTTTGACGACGAGGGCATCGATCAGGTGCAAAGGACACTTGTGGGCACAAAGCAACACATGCAAGAGGGAAACAATTTTAAAGGATATTCTTGTCATTTTAGGATATCTTATAATTAAATTTATCTAATTTTGAAGTGCTTTAAAACATGTGGCGACATAATATCTATAAATTCTCACAACAGCACACAAAATTATCAAATTAATAAGAGCCAACTATGGGTACATAGGTTGGGTTTAATTAATCATTTTCCCTCTAAAAAGCATACTTTTGGTTTTACAATATTCTCCTAGTGAGCACTAAATTTAAAGTAACAATAATTTCTTCAAGGACCTATAAAACTAAGTAAAAGACCTAAAAAGCTTGAAATACATTCAGAGGGAGTTGAATTCTAACACTATGATATGACACAAAAACAAAGTTAATGACTCCATCAATCATGATTCATTAGATCATAAGGTTAATTAGGCATAAAAATCCAATCAACGTTCGTTAATTTGGAGGTTAGTAATATATACTTGGTACATAAGTTTATATATACTGAGTAGCTTGACAGCTTGAGGTCGAGTTCCAACATTTAATTTGGTACACAAAAAATAAAAGTAGCATAACAAATAATCTTATAATGTTTCCTAGTATACTCGTAACTAATAATTGCCATGATTATGTATTTGTTACTCAAAGCACATCTCATCTACTATACCTACTTTGCCGTGAGAACTACCAGTAGTGATTAATACCTAGAGATAAAGGAGTATGTTGTATTCATAAATCATAATGGTTAACTAACTTTTAGCTTTTACGCACTTCATGTAACTAGATGGCAAATGATTAATAAGAAATGAATTGCCAAATTAACTGTGGGAATTGAGCTGTAAGACACAATAATGATGGAAGTATTGGAAATATAGTAAATCAATCAATTTTCAAGTTATTGTTAAGTGTATCTTCTTAGACAATACATGTACGTACTTTACCCTACTGTTATAAAATAGGAGAGAGTAATATTTTTTATAAGTCTTGAAGGGATGTGACACTTATTGCCATATAGTTTTGGAATAAAACCTCCACACTAATATTGTGAAGTGAACTCGCACTTGATAATGGGTATGTCGCACATTCGTATGTAATACAAAGTATTGGGTGTGACAAGCCACACTCAATATTTCGTGTGGCAACAAACTGTACGTATTCTCTATC